CAAACAGCTTCTGATCTCTGACACCCCGATTCAAACTGTGGATCAGCCTCCCCTGATGTAATATTAAGAGAGGGAGGCCTTAGAATAAACTCATAAATGTAGACTTACCGTGATCTTTCTCACCAGCTAGGTCGGTTCTGGGGCCAAGGGAATCAAGCTGCTTCAGAAACCCAAACATTTTTCTAAGTGTGAAAGGTTTTTCAGTGGATATAAAGGTCGCGATAAGCCAGCTGATTTTAAATCCACACACTGCTCTTTCCAAGACATTTCCTCAAAGTGTCACACTGAATAACTCCAGTCGACAGTGGCGAAGTCCCCAAATCCTACAGGAGTATGGCGAGGGTAAGCACAGTAGGAGAGCTGATGGGCCACCCTCAGGGGTGAAGGGCTGGTTTTTGAGACGAAGAAAGAGAAGTAAGAAAGACAGAAGAGCGTTTTTTTTTTTAATCCTCACTCGAGGACACTTTTCCAATTTTTTTGTTCAGATAGAGTGGGAGGGAGAGGGAGGAAGAGAGAGAAACATCGATGTGAAAGGGACACATCGAGTGGCTGCCACCCGCATAACCCAACCAGGGCGGGGGACAAACTGCAACCGAGGTATGAGCCCCTAGCGGGAACCGAACCCAGGTTTCTTGGGACCGCAGGCCAAGGCTCTAACGGCTGAACCAAACCAGCCAGGGCAGGAGAGGGGGTTTGGGTGGAGTTACCCGCCCTCTGTTTTCTTTTTTTTTTTTCTTATCCTCACCCGAGGACATTTTTCCATTTTTTGTTCGGATAGAGCGGGAGGGAGAGAGAGGAAGAGAGAGAGAGAGAGAAACATCGATGTGAAGGGACACATCAAGTGGCTGCCACCCGCACAACCAACCAGGGCCGGGGACAAACTGCAACCGAGGTATGTGCCCTTAGCAGGAACCGAACCCGGGTCTCTCTGTACCGCAGGCCGACGCTCCAACCGCTGAGTCAAACCGGCCAGGGCCCGCCCTCTGTTTTCTCATCCTCTTTAACATCAGAGATACATCGGGTAAGGTCTAGGGCTCACTGGTCAGCGGGGCCCTAGACCTGAGGAAGCAGATGAATGAAATGATCTTAAAGACATCCCTAAGTTCTTTGCCTGGGCTTGTGGACAGGCTGCAGGGAATGATAAGGCCCTGATATTTCACTGGAGAATTCTGTGCGTATGATATCATGTGCTTTTTTACAGGAAGAGTCTTTGTAATTTGTAGAGATTCCGAAGAGATGCCCATGGCCCAGTGACGCTTAAGAAGCCTTGACGAGAAAAAGAAGGCGGATGCCAACGGCGTTGTCCAGAGACAGTCTTTCTTTAACGTTCAGGGTGGTCTTTGAGACCCTTTGCTCATCAGCTGTTCTTACCACCCCATAAAGCAAAACAGACATCTCTGTTTTTGCCTGGAGAAGATACTAATATCGTAGGGACTTAAATAATGTATTTGCTTCTTCTGCTTCTTACAAGTAAACTCAAATGCAGAAGAGAAAGCCGATGTAAAAATCGGGTGTTACAACTTTCTATAAATTTAAATTGTTTATTTCCAAATAAAAGTTAAAAAAAAAAATGCCCTGGCTGGGTGGTTCAGTAGGTTAGAACATCATCCCGAGGTTGCAGGTTCAATCCTCGGTCCGGGCACATGCAAGAAGCGGCCAATGAAGGCATACAGGAGGGGGACAGCAAATCGATGTTTCTCTCTCTCTCAAATCAATAAATTAAAAATATATAATTGGATGTGATCTGGATTTGGTGCTATACTCAGAAACTTTTCCATGGAGCCAAGTTTTAATAATCTAGAGTTTAAAATCACTATCTTGCTCTGCAGTCAACTGATATTCTCTTTAAGCTGCAAAATTAGGCAAATGTCACCACCTTACACAGGGCTCAGGCACCTGTGAACTGTCTGGCACAATAACCACGGATCCCAATGGAATAATGGTTAGAGAGCCGAGAAAAAAACCCAACGAGGAAAAGTAAACGAGACACTCTCATTGTTTCACGGATGTTTACTCTCCACAAGGAAAAGGGAAAGCAAATCAGACAGAGGTTATCCAGCTCTTCTGAGCTCCTGACACCCTCCCCCCTTGCTCATCTTCGGATGCAGCTCGGTGGCCTTCCCCAGGCCAGCACCGTGAGCCCTACCGAGTGCCCCGGAGCTGTCCCGACTGCTGAATGGACCCCCAGATGCACCCCTGACCCAACAAACTCTTGTGTTCAAGACAGAAGGACGTGATTCACAGTGACAACGGCGGGCTGGGGGTGATGGCTAAGGGCTCCTCCATCCGTAAAAAAATTCCATTTTTAAAGACATTCACTTTTACAATTGAGCTCCTCAAACAAGGGACTGTTTCCTACTTAGTCTGTGTCCCACATTTCCTAGTTATTTCTCTATCCTGAGTGACTAGCAGAACGTCCGATACGCAATAAGCGCCGAAGAGTTTTGAATGCATTTTTGCTCCTTGCTCTTCTGTACCACCATTCACCGCTTAGAAAGCCGCGGGCCCATGTGTGCCGCAAAGGTTAGCGAGCTCGGCGCTGCAGTCTCTGCTGAGGATACTGTGGTCCACGCTACGCTTCACTACGAATACTGAGCCATCTAATGGTCCTGGTTTCGCTATACTAATGGAACTTTTACAGCGATCTTTTTCAAAAGTATTATTTTATTTTTTATATCTATCTTGAGAGAGAGACAGAGCAGAGGTTTCTTTCAGTATCAAGAGGAGAACTGAAAGGTAAATTCAGACCATGCCCTATAGACACTCAATAAATAAAAGGCTGAATCAAGGAAGGGCAGGTTTAAATCTCCAGGGTTCAGTCAATTTTGCTTCTCAACAATTTAAGGGATAAAAGAAAAAAAGAAATTCTGGGACATTCCGAGATTAAATCTCAAACCTCAGGCCTCTCAGAATGGCTGCAGTTTTTAGCACGACACTCTTTGAAGTTTAATCGTTGTAAAAAATCAACCCTATAAGTCCTGAAGAATGATTCGAGTCGCATTTATGGTTGTCCTCATGTTAACTTGAAGCAAAGAAATATTCAGCAATGGTTAAAAAGTCAGGAAAATAATTTTTAAGGACCCAATGCCCAATTTCAGTTACATAAACGGTGATGAAGATTATGTTCAGCCAGACACATATACTAAGAAGGAACATCTTAATTTTTGGAGGCTTAATGTTTACGCCACACAATGTACACACATTCACAATATTCAGAAGGATGAGCTTTCGGTGAGAGAGGTGAAACAGACAAGCTTGGCTCAGAGAGGACAGGAAATCCCCCCAGAAACCTGCTAACTGGGTGCACGTTAGACTAAACAACAGCTCTCCGTCGAGCTGGATTTATGGGGGTGATCGCTCAGTAAGGTCTATAATGTCTAATCACTGGGGTGTACACCTGAAACTGATATCGTATGTCGACTGTAACTGAAACATAAAAAGTCACTTAAAGTTAAAAGAAAAGAAAAAGAAAAAGAAAAAGAAATGTATTCAAGTGGGAACACTTGCTTGTGTTGAATCCGCAAATGCTTCTTTGTCCTGGGAAGTTGCCACCTAAGAAATGATCGAGTCATAAACTTGCTTTTGTTGTGCTAAACTCGCCTTCTCTACACCCCATCTCAAAAGGAAAGTGGTTAAGCTGACCTTCCAAAGGGAACCATGGATTTCAGTTTTGAGGAAAAAGAGGTAGACTTTCAATGATGGAAACACTCGGGAAAGGAATCCGGTAATTTTAATGCCTCCTCCGATTTGTATACATTGTTTAAAATCACAATTCGGGTTTCAATTTCTACAGACTACCTCTGACTACTAAGCAGATCTTGTTTCCAGAAAGCTAGCAGAGGGGAAAAAAAATCTCAACAAACCAAGGAAGGAAAAATCTTCACCAAAACAGTGGGAACAGACATTTCTTTTTATGCTTCTCTTTACTAAAACAAAATGTTATCGGCAAGTTGAACAGCTTTTGAATCACTATGTGAAACTTGGTAATGGCTCTGGATGAAATTTTTCATCTCAAAAGTCATGCATAAGCCAGAATTTCACTAAAAATAAAACTAAAACATTCCACTCCTAAATGAGTTTTTTGCATAGTCAGGGAGTGACAGAGACTAAGCTACCATTTAAATTCATCTCCATCTCTATGTTTACACTGGTGATATTTGCTGGTCTTTTAGTGATGCAATAAAACATTATACAATTATTCTTAGTGGGGTCTGCTGCGGAAACACTGATGAATTTAAGACCTTATCTTCCATGGAGTGATGAATTTAAATTCTATAATTATGTAAGCCTATAATGATTACCATAGTCCATAGGTCATTCAGTTAATTAGCACATAGCATGCTGAGACCTTAAGTATGGGTTCAGTTTCCACAAAGATCAACATTGCATCTTACTGTCAATGTAAAATCCACACATTCCTAGCGAAGCAACTTGGAGACTCTGCTTTGGAGCCACAGAGAACTGGGCCAATAATAATAATGGTAATAATAATATTATTATTGCAAACCTGGGTGAGTTGCTCAAGCATTCGGAGCCTGTTTCCTTGCCTGTAAAACACAGGTAATACACGCCTCACAGTTATCACCCTGAGGTTGCTATTGATTGCAACATGTACATGATGTTTGTAAAGAACTCAGAGTGGTGCCAGGCACTAGGTAAGTTTTGGCAGGTGCCTTCTGGCTTGCAGTCTGAGGTCAGAGCAGGGCATCAAGGGCAGACAATACACAGTGACAGGAACACGACAAAGGTGCTCACGAGTCCCTATCTGGCTTTGCGCACTTTAATCGATGATCAGCGGTAGCCCGGGATCCTGGGAAGCTCCCTTACACCCTAAACATTCTCATAGCCACGTTTTCTTGGTGGAGGCAAGTACTTGCGTTTCAACTCTCTGCCCAGCCCCTTACAAGAATAACCCTGTGACACAGAACCCAGAATATTGTTACCCTAACTCATGAGGCAATTAGCCTAGAAACATGTGCTTCATTTATTTTACTTCTTACCTTTTCGATTTTTTCATCCAGCATTCTGAAGAATTCCTGTTGGCTCTCGGAGATATGCATGCTGAAAAACACAGAGTAGTAAGTGCATATTTCAATTTTTTTTCCTTAAACCTCCTCCCTCAAGGAAAATGCTGAGCCCCTAAACTTTGAGGCAGACATTTATTTAGAGCAGACTTTTCCATGGAACTACTCTGAAGTTATAGTAAGAATAAGTGTTATTACAGTAATCCTACAAATGCATTTCAGAACAGTCTATCGGTGTCTATGATTTAAGAAATACAATTTCCTGTCAATGTACACACGGTGCCGTGACTGGGAGGTGCGGGCCAGACTTTTCCTTCAGATACACCTTTGTGATGTAAAGAAACAGACAAGCAGCCCATGGCGTATTCCCGTGTGCAACCCTAGTTATTACATGGAAATGTGTACTTTATAAAGGTTGTCAGCGTCGGTGTGACATTCAGCGCTCTCTCTAGGTGTGGGCTGGCAGCAAATGGACTTGACATTGGCCATGAACACCTTGCGCACTGGCGGCCGTGAATGCCCCGACAGAGACTGCACCAGAAGAAAGGGGAGAGTCAGGAGGCAGGTCTGGGTAGCCCCTGCTCTGTGTGTTTGCTCGTCCCGCCCCAGTTAACAGCACTCGGTGAGATGAACGTGGTAACGTGGGTAAGGAGGGCAGAGGTGCCCCAATGGGAAGGGTGTGGAGAGGAAGGGGCCTTGGAGGCAGCATGCTTTTTTTTTTTAATTTTTGTTTTTTTAATCCTCACCAGAGGACATTTTTTCCATTTATCTTCAGATAGAGTGGGAGGGAGAGAGAAGGAGAGACAGAGAAACATCGACGTGAGACACATAGACTTGTTGCCTCCTGCACGACCCCGACCAGGGCCTGAGATGAACCACAACTGAGGTGCATGCCCTTGGCCGGAATCGAACCTGAGACTCATTGGTCCCCGGGCTGACGCCCTAACTGCTGAGCAAACCAGCCAGGGCGGAGACAGCACGGTTCTAATGGCCGGCGTTCCTCCCAGCAAATAGCTGTGGGTCCCAAGGAGGCCAGGGTGCTGGGGTGAGACAGGTCCAGTGTCTCACTATTGGTGTCTATTGGTTGCCATGGCTGCGAGGGGTGGGGGGGAGGGAGAGAGTTCTGGAAAAGCCTCTCCCTTTCACGTTGAGGTGTGGCACAGCCCTTGGCACTCTGCCTCATCCTGGGGGCCAGGGTCTGAATCCCAGCCGCCTTCCAGGAACCCCCGAGCCTCCTTGAGGCGAAACGGCCCTGAGCTCCAGGCTCTGGCTCTTGTCTGCCTTTGCTTTTCCTCTCATCTCTCCGAGTCAGAGGAGGGACCAGTCCCCTTCCAGGGTCCTTCCCGGCTGCTGCTTCTACTCTATGCCTGGAAACACTCGGCCAAGTGAGGCAGGGTGTGTCTCCGACTGGGTAGCGGTTTAGGTAGGATCCTGCCGAAATCACGAGGCTTGCTCGGCTGTTTTCCACGGGTTCGTTTCAGAGAGAGGCCCCGAAATCTCTCCAGCAGGGGCAGAGACAAAGTGTTTACTCTGATGAGATAAATTAACCCATATCAACCGACACCCACTTAGACAGATGCGGAGGGGGGTCCCGGTCTCACGTGGAAACCCCATCAACACGGCGGCGTGCACACCAGTTGTAGTTCAGGTGTGTCGGCTGCACTTAGAGACGGGCCCGGGTGAAGCCTCCTGTGCTGTGCACAGCCTGATGACCAGGAGTGTCGGCTGCACCTAGAGACGGGCCCGGGTGAAGCCCTCCGGTGCTGTGCACAGCCTGATGACCAGGAGTGTCGGCTGCACCTAGAGACGGGCCCGGGTGAAGCCCTCCGGTGCTGTGCACAGCCTGATGACCAGGAGTGTCGGCTGCACCTAGAGACGGGCCCGGGTGAAGCCCTCCTGTGCTGTGCACAGCCTGATGACCAGGAGTGTCGGCTGCACCTAGAGACGGGCCCGGGTGAAGCCCTCCGGTGCTGTGCACAGCCTGATGACCAGGAGTGTCGGCTGCACCTAGAGACGGGCCCGGGTGAAGCCCTCCGGTGCTGTGCACAGCCTGATGACCAGGAGTGTCGGCTGCACCTAGAGACGGGCCCGGGTGAAGCCCTCCTGTGCTGTGCACAGCCTGATGACCAGGAGTGTCGGCTGCACCTAGAGACGGGCCCGGGTGAAGCCCTCCTGTGCTGTGCACAGCCTGATGACCAGGAGTGTCGGCTGCACTTAGAGACGGCCCGGGTGAAGCCCTCGGGTGCTGTGCACAGCCTGATGACCAGGAGTGTCGGCTGCACCTAGAGACGGGCCCGGGTGAAGCCCTCCTGTGCTGTGCACAGCCTGATGACCAGGAGTGCGGGGTCAGAGCACACTTGCTTTCTGTCTTCCCTCAAGGCACCAGAAAGAATGATCGGGTTGGTTATGGTTTACAAAGTATCAACACTTGATGCGCAATTAATTCGATGTAAAATTCTCTTAAGAAAGCCTGCATGTTGGTGCCTGATTAAAGGAGTAAAGCTTAGCAGTGTTAGTAAGTCCTGTCGCTCTAACAACTACAGCTGGTCTGGGGCAACCCCACACTCCCACGGGGGACCTCCTGTGGCCCCAGGCGACGCTGGCGAAGCTCCTGAGTTAACCCACCCGCAAAGGCTCTTCCTTCTGTGGCTTCTCAGCTTTGAGAGACCAGAGATGATGACATGATGGAATCCTGCTGACAAGTAAGCAGATGAACAGAAGGTGGGCAAAATGAGCTTTCGAGTTGAAAGATCCGTGGCTTTCATGTTTAAAAAAAACAAGTTTCCAAACAATAAAAACGTAAGCCGGAAAAGTATGAGAAGGCAAGGTCCCAATTCCCTCCTATGTCACCCGCAAAAGTGAAATTCAGTTACTGGGTGAGTTCCTGGCAGCTCTTGGCCTGAACACGATTATTTCTTCACGGTCATCATTATTTTTCAACTGGACCTCAGGGAAGTGAGTTATTCCTAATCCTTACATCACGACACACCCTTGCTCGTAGCTCATGCGGGGCTCAGGCTCACTTTTAGCTCATTATTATTTTTTAAAATAGTATAAGCACCCATGAAACCAAAACAAAAACCAAAAGCTGGGACCTTGACAACCTAGAGCTAACTTACCTCCCACCCTGATTTATTTTAGTTGTTTTAACTTGGCAAAGAGTGCACCACGCCCTCTGCGATCTTTTGGGCTTACTCCTTTCTTCTAGTACGACATTGGCCGGGTCCGGCCAGCATTCATCTTCACGGATTTAAATGTTAACTTCAAGTGAATGAACTGAATATTAACTTGGAGTTTCTTTCCCCCAATTTCTTGTTAAAGGGCATCTGGGTGGTTTCTAATTACCAAGGCGTTCTTGCCAAGTCAGGGTGGTGAGCACTGGGCGTCCATTACTTCATTTGCACACCCCAGCCCTCGGAGCAGGATGGCTCATCTTCACTCTTCTCTGAGCCTTAGGTCCCTTGACTGAGAGCACAAAGTCCGTAAGAATGGGTTGCACGTGCCGCATCGAATGGAGATGTGAAAATGATCTGCCTTTTTTTTTAAATCCTCACCTGAGGATATTTTTTCCATTTATCTTCAGATAGAGTGAGAGAGAGTGAGGGAGAAACATCGATGTGAGAGAGACACACTGATTGGCTGCCTCCTGCATGACCCTGACCAGGGCGAGGGACTGAACCGCAACCGAGGTCCATGCCCTTGACCGGCATCGAACCCTCAACTCTTTGGTCCAAGAGCCGACACTCCAAATGCTGAGCCAAACCAGGGCATGGTCTGTCAGTGTGCCAAGCGCCATGTTTCAGTCTGTCCAAGTTAAATTAGTATTCACTCTAAACGAACAACACACCTCCTTAATCCAGTCTCTGCTGAGAACTCAGATCAGGGAAGCATTTGGAAACAGCATGCGTCGCGTGGCCGGGATAAAAAGCCGACTGGGTTCAGGCATCGGGTATCTTGTTCCCGAAGGCAGATCAAGTTCGTGCCCACACAGCGATGCCCAGGGACGTGAACGAGGGAGGTCGTGATGTAGCACCATATTCACCCACGGGCGCAAACGTCAGTTGTACCGTCATACGGACATTGCAAACCGTAAGTGGATCTTCAAGTGTCTAGCTTTCCTTGCAAGTAAAAAACGAAACCCCTGAGCTCATCGGTACCCCCTCCCCGAAAAGTCCCACCTGCCACGTCACAGCAGCCATGGCTGAAGCAATGCCACGGACACGGCCAGGTTCAAGTGATTATGAACTAGGTGATCTTTGTCTCAGTTTCCTGGGAGGAATCAGAGATGACACAGTGTCTTCTACTTAGGATTGTGACTCATGGGGCAACTATTACATGTATGTAATGGTCAAATTTATTTCGGAGTGCGGTGGCTGTGTCAAATGTAGTAAGGTAATTGGGACCCCCAGGGAAGGTGTTAATATTCAGGGGGACACAACATAAGAGATTTGTAGCCTCTGGGATGCCAGTTGTCTTTGAAGAAAGTGGAGGTAGTTTTCATGTCACGCAAAGTCCATCTTATCACTAAGGTAGATTCAGTCCTAGAACAATCTAGAAAATGACCCCTTATTCTCTTTAACTTTTTAACTGTGAAATAAATAACACAGAGTAAAGAAAACATGTAATGTTATTTGTCCCTTTTTATTTATTTATTATTTTTTTTATCCTCACCCGAGGACATTTTTCCATTTTTTGTTCAGATAGAGTGGGAGGGAGGGAGAGGAAGAGAGAGAGAGCGAGAGAAACATCGATGTGAAAGGGACACATCAAGTGGCTGCCACCCACACGACCAACCAGGGCCGGGGACAAACTGTAACTGAGGTACGTGCCCTTAGCGGGAACCGAACCCGGGTCTCTCTGGACCGCAGGCTAATGCTCTAACCACTGAACAAAACCGGCCAGGGCTATTTATCTGTTTTTAAACGATGATAAAAGGGCACCCTTGTAATTAGCACTCAGATTAGGAATGAGAACCATGGTCCCACAGTCTTCCATCCATTCAGAAAGGACTACTATTTAAAATTTTTTTCCTTTATTGATTTGAGAGACAGAGGAAGAGAGAGGGAGAGAGAGATAAAAACATCGATGAGAGGGAACATTGATTGGCTGCCTCCTGCATGCCCCTCACTGGGAATTTGGCCCACAGCCTGGGCATGTGCACTGACCAGGAATTAAACTGGTGACCTCTTGGTGCATGGGTCGACACTCAACCACTGAGCCACACCAGCCAGGACCACTATTGTTAATTGAAAACCTTTTCATCTCCTTGCGTGTCTTTACTGTTTCACCATATACACACTTATACAACACATGGCTTAATTCTGCCCACTTCTGAACGTTATACGAGTGACACCATATGTAGGCAGGTATAGACTTCTTGTACTGCTCTAACCTTACATTCGTGAGATTTCTTCATCTTGACCCATGTAGCTACAGGTTGTTCATTTTCACTGATATGTGGTCTTCTCATCATAAGAATATGCCACATTTCTGTTAGCCATTATGTTATTTTTAAAACTAATAATAAGCCAGTCACAGAGTAACAAATACCATATGATCTCACTAATATGTGGAATCTAATGAACAAAATAAGCTGAAGGACAAAATGGAGCCAGAAGCATGGACACATGGGCGGACTGGCCGGTGCCCAAGGGGCGGTCAGTGGGTGGGGGGACTGGATAAAGAAGGTGAAGGAAATAGCTAAAGAACATATAAGCTTACCCCATGGACACAGACAATAATTTGGTAAAGGCCAAGGAAGGGGGAGGTGGAGGGAGGTGGGCAAAGGGGGGGATTAGGGACTCCTGCAATAATGTTAACATTATACTTAAAAAAATTATTTGTATTGATTTTTAGAGAGAGAGGAAGGGAGAGGGAGAGAAACATCCATCGGCTGGCTGCCTTCTGCACACCCCCTACAGAGGATCGAGCCTGAAACCTGGGTATGTGCCCTGAGCAGGAATAGAACCAGCAACCTTTAGGTGCATGAAATGATACTCAACCAACTGAGCCACACTGGCCAGGGCTAGCCATTATACTTTTGATGGGCATTAGGGTTTTACTTTCAAGACCACACACACACACACACACACACACACACACACACTGCTGCCATGGATATTTCTGTTGGCACCCCTGCACAAGAGTTTCCAAAGTAATTGCACCAGTTTAGATTCCCACCAGTAGGCATAAGAGTGCCCGAGTTCCTCATCCTGGTCAACGTTTTGTGTTTTTTCACATCCATTAGCTGTTCCTGTTTCCTCCTCAGTGAAATGGTTGTTCGTGTCTTTAGGTTGTTTTTCTATGAGTTCTCTGTCTTTTACTTACTGACTTGTAGACATACTTTATATATTCTGCAAGCCCAACTATTATCAATTACATGTATTATAAACTATCCCATCGTTTTGTGGCCTTTTACTTTTCTATAGTATATTTAGGTGAACAGAAGTTCTTAATTTTAATGTGATCATCATAATGAATCATTTTCCTTCAGATCTGCAACCTTTGAGACTTATTTAAAACTTTTTCCTACCCCACATAAAGATATTCCCCCATTATTTCCTTCTAACTGATCATTTAAATACCTGCCCTGTCACATATTGGGGGACTGTTTTTGGACTCTCCATTCTGTCCTGTTACACCAAACCAAACTGGTCATAATTGATAAAGCTTTCTCATAAGTCTTGATTATCTGATAGGCAAAATGGACCCCACTCTGAAAATATCCTTAGCTTTGAAAACAACATAAAAATAGGAACCAGGACTTACTTGGCTCTGGGTTGATGAACTAATCCTGGAATCTCTTTATTCGTTTTGAGTCTTGTGTTGGAACTGGCACTTTTTTCCTGAAACACATAAACACACACATGTAAAAGCCAACATGAGAACCAGCAATGCAGCAACAGCATGGCTCTTCATCACAGAAATGCCAGGTGTGTTTGGGACCCTCTATAGCTGGTGACTTCCCAGGGACCAAACTCCTTGCGAAGGTCCGGGCAGAGCCACCACACATCTTAACAGGGCACGTGGTCATGAAAAGAGCAATTAGCCTCACAATAGCTATGACTCTGTTAAGAAAACAATGTGCAACTGAGAATAGATTTTCAGGGTGAGTTACTGAACACTGTACGAGTGCAAGAACAGAAGATTCCAGGGTCCAAGAGGGCCGAGGAGAACACTCACAGCATGTCGACCTGCCCAGTTAACCGACTTCAGCGCCTCTTACTGGGGAAGCCAGCGGCAGTCACTGAGACCCAGCGTGAGCACAGGGCTCTGGCGGTGGCCCTCACGGGGACACGATGGAAAAGAACGACTATTTTCCACCCACAACAAACACTGGAATTGAATTCAATCGAATTAATAAAATTCAATACTAGCCTCTATTCAAGAGGCACGTTCTGGCTGTTTGCCTAATCTGACTTCATAGTCCCAGCAAGCCAGCCAGATGGGAGAGGAGGACTCTCAAGTCTTCAAACACCGACATACCAGCAAGCATGTGCTCTCCGTGGTACGACTGCTCGGTATTTTCTAAGACATTATTAAAAAAAAAAAGTTATTCAAGGCGCTCTATTCTTTGCTCACAAAACATACCCCTCAAATGAAAGAAAAGACTATGGTAAACCAATTTAAGAAGTGACTCAAGGGACCAGAGGTGTGGCTGTAATGGAAGACCCAGGCTAAGGGGAGGGATGAAACCCGGGTGGGCCAACCCACCCTTCACCACATGCGAAGTGATGTGGGATGGTCCCCCATTGAACTTTCTGGAATTCATATTCCCGTGGGACCACAAACGCCACTTACATCAATGAAATTCCAACGACTTGTATGTTCTGGTGGTGCTTTGTCACTGACCATCAGACGTGAGCTTATCTGTGTAACATGAGTATTCTAAACCAGGGTGACTTGGTGATTTTCTAGGAAAAGAATCATTGCAATTCCTCTGCAGTCTATTTTATCTTCCTTACCTCATGCTAAACTTAAGAATGTTTTCGTGAACATTTGAAATGAATAAAGTATATATTGTTTCCTCTGCTGACGGAGTCAGGGAACAATGAACGTCCCAATTTCTCACAAAGCAGGTGGGAACACTCAGAAAATTCTAATGCACTAACCCCAGAAGGGCAGGGCCCGTGCCCTCTTCACCATCGGGGCCACCGTGCCTGGCTCAGGGGCCTGGCACTGAAGATTCATAATTTACTACATTATAAGTTTTAGCAAATTTACAGAGCTGTGCAGTCATTACCCCAATCCAGTTTTAGAAGAACTCTATCATCCCGTAAGGTGTCCTTAAATCCATTTAGTTATGACCTGCTCTTACCGGATATGACTGGCGCCAGGAAACAGCAATCTGCTTTCTGTCTCTACAAATCTGCCTTTTCTAGATTCACATAATTGGAATTTTATAATACATAGCCCGGCATCTTTCACTTAGTATAATGTTTCTGAGCATATTTTGTATTTGTGGCATGTTTCAGTATTTCACTTATTTTATTTTTTTGTTAATCCTCACTTGAGGATATTTTTTCCATTTTTTTTTTTTTTTTTTTTAGGGAGAGTGGAAGGGAGGGAGGGAGAGAGAGAAACATCCATGAACATCAATGTGAGAGAGACACATCGATGGGGTGCCTTCCATTGCACCCCGACTGAGGTGGGAGTTTGAACGTGCAACCCAGGCACGGGCCCTTGACTGGGAATCAAACCCATGACCCTGCAGTGTGCAGGCTGACGCTCTGACCACTGAGCAACATCAACCAGGGCTCCCTTATTACTATTTTTTTATCCTCACCCAAGGACATTTTTACATTAATCTTCAGATAGAGCCAGAGGGAGAGAGGAAGGAAGAGAGAGAGAGAAACATCAGTGTGAAAGGGACACATCGACTGGCTGCCACCCACACGACTTCAGCCAGGGCCAGGGACAAACTGCAAACGAGGTACGTGCCCTTAGCGGGAATTGAACCTGGGTGTCTCTGGTCCGCAGGCTGACACTCTAACTGCTGAGTCAAACCGGCCAGGGTAGGGCTCACTTATTTTAATTGCTAAATAATATTCTGGTGTATGGATATACCACATTTTGTTTATCCATTCCTCTGGATTATTTCCAGTTTGTAGTTGTTATGAATAATGCTGCTATGACTATTCATATACATGTCTTTGGGAGGGTACATATTTTCATTTCTCTTGGGTAGCTTCCTAGGAGTAGAATTGCTATCTATAGTAAGTTTATAGTTAACTATTTAAGATGTCACCAAACCATGTTCCAAAGTGGTCCCCCATTTTACATTCCACCAGTAGTTCCAGCTTCACCACATCCCTGCCAACGCTCGGTACTGCCTTCAATTACTGCCATTCGAGTGGGTGTCTCATTGTGGGCTTTATTTTAGAAGTGTGACTTATTTGCATTTGTTCTTACATTTCCTCGTGTCCCTCAGCACACCTAGCAACTTGTACAGGAGGACTCGTGTGCCTTCTGATTTGCTGTGTTTGCCTCAACACATCGATTCTGCATTTGCTCATAGGCATCATTTAACGTCTACTCTGGGTGTTTATTAGGGAGGGGAGGTTTAAAGAGATGTCTTTAAAAAAAAAAAGAAACAAGCAAAATCAAGATGGGCTGGAGGAAGAAGAGGCTGATGGGAGCTCAGACGGAGCAGACCCCACAGAGGGGGCCACGCTGGGCCCAGGAAGAGAGTTAAACTGGGAGGTGACGGAAGAGCTATCTAAGATATTGTTTCCCTTGGCAAGAAACAACAATCTTAATGGTATTTGACACTTATAGACTAAGTCCCTAAAATAAACGAAGACCAAATAAGACTAAGTTGAAGACTAAGACTAAGTGTTGTTGTTTTTGAAAAATGTCAACATTTCCTTTACTATTTATGCATTGATGTAAGCATTCATAATATTTATTCTCATATGTATTTAAAACTTATTTTCAGTGTCAGCCTGCACTTCACACGAGTTTGTGGCCGTTGCGGGTGCGTGGCATGGCGGTCACGGGGAGCGGCGCCGTGCGTGATCTGCTCACGCGGGGGTCGTCCGGATGCGCTACAGTGCAGATCCCCAGCTCCACTCGAACTCCCTGAGTGGGAGTCTCTGGGATCGGGGCCCAGGAATCTGCATTTCAAACAGGAGGCCCAGGCGACCTGAACTCAAGGGAAAAAATAGTCTGCGAACTTTGATTTCAGAGAAAAGACGCCTTCACGCTCACGGTCCCCCGCTTGGTTTTCCGCACACGTTTTCAAACAGCCCTGGGTTCTTCGGAGCAGCCCGGCCAATGCAGAGGCCCAGCAGGGCAGGGGCCCTTGCTTCCCACCAGGGGCTCCATCAGCTGGAAAAAAGCCTCTGCTTCTCCAAAGTGTTTGCAAACGGACGTCAGGGAGTGACAGGTTTATTTAAACAGCAAATCAAACAATCTCCCCCGTGCTCGGAGGAGTTTTATATCTTGATGAACAGAACACACTTGTCGGCGTCTCGAGTGAACTTGTCTTTCCTTCTCAGTTTGTCTGCCGCTGGAGGCCGGCACACCACCTGTATTCGTGCTGCTGTCGCCAGTGCCCGGGTGGCCCCTCTCCGGGACAGTGAGAATACCAAGAGGAACTGACAGCTTCTTGAAAAAAACCTCCTTGAACTTCACCTCCTCGTGGGGTCTGGGTTGGGAGCGTGGGAGAAACCTCATTTCCTTTTTCTGGGCTCAGGAGTATAAAGGAATCCCAGGGGCCAGATGGATGCAGGAAGCTGCAGGCCTGGAGTAAAGAAGTGGGGCGGGGGGACTCCCAGCTCCGGAGACCGCTAATGGGGGGCCACACAGAAAGACGGCACAGGAAGGGACTCACGGCGTTCTGCCCTGCACGCGGCGTTGTTGCGCACACGTGATCCACTGCATTTGGAAGGTACATGAAAACTGGAAGAGGTCATTTATGAACTAGATCGAATGAGCAGATTTAGGGAGGCACACACATATTTTACATGTTTTTTATTGATTTGTTCTTTTTTTGAGAGAGAGAGAGAGAGAGAGAGATAGAAACACTGATGTTAGGGAGAAACATCAATCAGCTGCCTCCTGCACGCCCCCTACTGGGAATTGAGTGGGAAACCCGGGCATATGCCCTGACCAGGAATTGAACCCGGACCTCTCAGTCCACAGGACGATGCTCAGTCCACGGAGCCACACCACTGGCCGGGCAGCACACACATATTTTAAAAGTAGGAACACATTCAGCGACACAATAGAATCACTCCGGCTTTTGAGGAGTGACCCACAGAAGGTACTCTGTAAGGAAACAATCTCATTTGATGTTTTATACGTGATTCCTCAAGTGGTATTAACCCGAGATAGGACACGGCCTCCTCCAACTACAAAGGAGTTTTCTCTTCTGTCTTTTGAATGGTGATAATTCGCTGAACCATATTCACTGTGAGAACTTTTGAATGTTAACAAATGACCAGGCCCAAGCTATGAGATGCAACAGTTTGTTGACTTGGGCCCAACAGTATCATCGTAACTACATGAAGTCAACACTTCCAAATAACTACCTGCCCACACAGATTCTTGGAATGAGTAGTATTTTGTTAGAATTAGTAGTGATGAAGGTGGCGTGAAAAGTCTCTGCTTTGTGGAAATTCTTTACCTAGAAATGAAAATACAGCAACGTATCTCATTTTCTATCAAGCGAATGTTAAGTGGGGCAAATCCATTTTAAAGCATCTGGTATTTTTCACATAGTTGCTTCTCAAGGTAGATTGGAAACATTTAAAATAATCTTTAAAGAGTAAACAGCGCTGTAAGAAATTGCTCAGAACGAATTTAATTGTGTAACAACCAATCTAGAACAAAGTCATTTAGA